CCCCTGCTTTAGCCCCTGGACATGTCCCAGTAGTCCAATTTGGCTGAATACTTCCTAGGCTAAGGATGCAAATGTGTAGGCTGAACAAGAGTGGTCCAAGGTCATCCAGTAAGCTTCAAGTGGTCTCCTCTTTGACCTTTAAGGGATGCTCTTAAAACAGAGCAAGAATTGATATAGAAAAGGCTAGTTTAGACTATTATGTAAAAGTAAAAAAGTTGAGGTTTGATGTTACTATTTTATTCTACTGCACCAAAGGGAGTCGGAAGTCAATGTCTTTTCTTTCTTTTTCCTTCTTGTCTACACTTTTCTCTTCCCCCCTATTTTTTTTTATTATTTTCTTTTGTATTTTGTATTATAAATGAATAAAAAAAATTAAAACAGGGCAAGAAGATGGCTTTGATAATAGGAGACTATAGAGGTCAGTGATGCATTGTGCAAATGTAGGCCCGTTTTCTTAACCACACATAGCATTTGCTCCATTTTGGATTGACTCTGGACTCTTGTGCTTCCATCGTCTCTGTTGGGCAGCCAAGCTGATTTGCTTCCAGGTCAGTTGAGTGCAAAGAGGAATCACTCCAAATATTGTTTCCTAATAGAAACAAGTTTCAAGGTCAGTTGGTTGCAGCGAGGAAAAGCAAGCTCAAGCTCAGTGGATAGTTGAAAATGTTAGTGTTGTGGAATGGAGTGCAAATGAATCTGATAAACCAAGATTTTAGGCTAGGCATGATTGAAGTTAGAGAAACATTGTCTCCTCATGCAAAATAAATTCCAGATGCTAAGTTAACTTATGAAAGGGGGACCGGAAACGGAATCTGGCAGACCCCAATTCCCTTTCTTATACTTCTCTTGTGATGCCTCCTTAGGTGTTTTGGTCACCACACTATAAAAAAGATGTTGAGACTCTAGAAAGAGTGCAGAGAAGAACAAACAGGATGATTAGGGGATTGGAGGCTATAACATATGATGAGTGGTTGCAGGAACTGGGCATCACTAGTCTAGTGAAGAGAAGGACCAGGGGAGACATGATAGCAGTCTTCCAATATTTGAAGGGCTGCCATAGAGAGGAGGGGGTCAAACTATTTTTCAAAGCACCCGAAAGTCAGACAAGGAATAATGGATGGAAACTGATCTAGGAGAGATTCAACTTGGAAATAAGGAGAAATTTTCTGAAAGAATAATCAACCAATGGAACAGCTTTGCCTTCAGAAGTTGTGGGAGTTTCATCACTGGAAGATTTCAAGAAGAGACTGGACAGTCACTTGTCAGAAATGGTATAAGGTCTCCTGCTTGAGTAGAGAGTTGGACTAGATAACCTACAAGGTCCCTTCCAACTCCGTAATTCTATGCATTTTTCTGCTTAATACGTTGTGAAAAAGAGTATTGAAGGAACAAAACAAATTCCTGAGCCAAAATCTCCAAACCACCAAACCCCTGAACTCAAGTAAGCTTCCTTAATAGCATACTTAGGCATTTGCAGATGCTGGCTCACGAGTTACCTTAAATCAGCACTTGTACTTTTTAAATGGGAATTAGTAAGTAACTAACCACAAAAGGTGGTTCGTGCCAACCTCTATTTTATTAACTGTTTCTTCTCACTATAAGAGGAAAATCTAACCCATGTTAACAAAAATAAGATGATTGACATTTAATGTCATTACTAGTCAACATTTATTGTTCAACTATAGAAAGATTATTTGTACCCTTCCTTAGGTCGGCAGAACCTTGTATTCTGTCCGCAGCAGTTTTCAGAAAAACTTAGCTTAAGAATATAGTGTGGTCTCCATTCATAAACTGGAGCACAATTGCAAGCAGAGCTTCTCCAAATAAGCAGGATGATGATCACATGAAAATAGGCCTTCTTGGTTGATTGATTGATTTATTGATTGATTATGTGCTATCAAGTCATTTTTGACTCCTAGCAACAACATGTAGGTAATCCTTGATTTACAATCTTTTGTTTATTCGAAGTTAAAACGGCATTGAAAACGACGACTTGTAACTGTTTTTTACACTTCTGAACATTGCAACGTCCCCATGGTTACGTGATCAAAATTCAGCAGCTTGGCAACTGGCTCATATTTATGACAGTTGCAGTGTCCTGGGGTCATGTGATCACCTTTTGCGACCTTCTGATAAGCAAAGTCAATGGGGAAGCCAGATTCAGTTAACAACCATGTCATACCTTAACAACTGAAGTGATTCACTTAACAATGGGGTCAAGAAAGGTTGTAAAATGGGGCAAAACTTACTTAACTATCTCGCTCAGCAACAGAAATTTTAGGTTCAATTGTGGTCATAAATCGAGGACTACCTGATAGATTTTTTTTCCCCCTATAACAATATATTCCTAGCCTACTCTTTCAAATTACCCAATGGGACAGCTTCACACAGTGTGTCCAAAATACCATAGGTCATTTGAGTCTGGCCATTTGTACCCTGAGTGAAAACTCTTCATTGATTTGCTTGCTGATCCCTGCTTATTCGTTTTCTTGGTTATGCGCAGTATTCTCTATGTGAATCTTTTCTTGTAATCATTTGGGAATACATTCTTTTATTTTTCTCTTTCTCAAGAGCGAGTTATTGATTACCCTCTTTTAGATTTTCCTAGCTAAGAAGTGTTAGTCTGGGATCTGCCAGAATTCCCAATTTTGGGGTATGCTACCTGGGATTTAATGGGAGTCAAACTTCAAAATATATAAAAGGCAGCAGGATGCTTAGCATTTCCCCAGTTAATGCAGTGTCTTATGTTGGATATATTTGGCCCTTCAGTGTTCTGAGGTGTTAGTAATTTATATTTTTAGCTCTCCCCCTTTGAGGCAGAAATGAGTACCTGTCCCTCCAGGTTTCTCTCTTTTTCTAACTTGCAAGCATTTAGCTTCTGTGGGAGTAAGTTAATCCTTTGGCTTATTTCTGAATCTTTTGTTTCCCAACTCTTAGTCAGAAAGTCCTGGCTGCCAATATACAAAATTTCAGAGCTCTAACTCCTCAGGAAGCGCACTAATAATACTGATACACCCACAAATGAGTCAGTGGACAGACTGATAAAGTTAAGGGGCTTTAAAGGGAAAGTAAGCCTGTTATACACATCTTGGCAGTCAAATAATAGCCAGAGGAAAATCCAAGGTATTGAATATTCTTTATATATTTTTGTTGCCATTTTTCTTTTGTCCCAATGTTGAATGGAAAATAATTCAGCATCGCATTTCATTGCTGAATATATATATATGGATCTTTGGTTATTCAGGTCTTCTCCCGCGTAAAATGGGAAGTAAATATATATATATATATAAATATATATATAAAACCCACCAATTGACTTTCTAGTTAAAGGTAGTCCTTGACTGACAACAATTCATTTAGTGACCATTTAAAGTTATAAAAACACTGAAAAAAAAGTGATTCATGACAATTTTTCACACGTATAACTGTTGTAGCATCCTCACAGTCACATGATCAGAATTTGGACACTTGACCACTGGCATATATTTATGATGGTAACAGTGTCCCAGGAACATGAGATGACCTTTTGGGACAGGTTTCACATAACAACCGTGTTACTAACTTAAAAAATTGCAATGATTCATTTAACAAATGTGGCAAGAAAAGTCTCACAATGGGACAAAACTCACTGAACACATTTCCCATTTAGCAACCTAAATTTTGCGCTCAATTGCGGTCGTAAGTTGAGGACTACCTATATTGGTTTACTGAAGCCCGACAGCCCGGCAAGAAGGAAACACGAGAAAGTTTGTAAGCTCTTGGGGCATGTTCCATTCTGCCTGCAATCCCAGTGATTTCATTTTGCTGCCAAAATCTGAGAAGGTCCTGTCAGGGGCTGGTTTCTGTACCCATTGGCAGACTTCTTCGTTGCCCGTCCTTTCTGCAGAGGAAAAACGGAGAGGATCTCAGCTCATTCTAAGAACAGCTTTCTGCCTGGCTAAGCCCTTGATGGAGCCTCTGGGGAAAACTCTCGCTTTTCCCACCCTGCCTCCTGTGTGTAAAAGAAAGCATCCTACCAAAACTGAAGAAGAAGTGGCTGGGGGAGTGAACAAAGCTGAGAAGGGGAGGAAGGATAAGCTATTCTTGGTACCTTTATGAGAAAGCCTGGTGCAAGACAAAACAAGTACATTCCTGCCCTAACTCCGCCAGGCTCCCAGGGAACCGGTTGAGGCTGGGCAGGGTGGAAGCACAAGTGACGCCTTTGTCCTCACGGGGCCCAAAAAGCAGGCAGTGCTCTGCTTTTCAGGGCCTCTGAGAGGGGAATCCCTTGGCCTTCAGACAATGACCTCTTGCCCAAAAGGCAAGGCTGAGGCATTGACCTTGTTTGGCGTGTAATTGCCCATCAGGGAGCCGCTTCTCTAAACACCTTGGTGCTTGGACTCCCTTTCGTTACAGGTGGTCCTTGACTTACAACCATAATTGAGCTCAACATTTGTGTTGCTAAAGCGAGACAGTTGTTAAATGAATTTTGCCCTCATTTTACAACCTAATAAACTTGATAAATTCAACCCTGCTGCTGTTAAATACGGTGGTTAAGTGCATATGGCTTTCCCGTTGCCTTCGCTTGTCAAAAAATTGCCAAGAGTGATCTCGTGACCCTCGGGGATACAGCAATGGTCATAAATATGAGTCAGTTGCCAAGCGTCTGAATTTTGATCACCTGACCATTGGGATGCTGCAACATAAGTATGAAAAAACGGTCATCAGTCACCTTTTTTTTTTCAGTGCCATTTGAAGGGTTGCTAAATGAACTTCGAATGGTCACTAAATGAACAGTTCTAATATAGAAAAGTAATAGAGTAGAATAGAATTCTTTATTGGCCAAGTGTGATTGGATACGCAAGGAATTTGTCTTGGTGCAAATGCTCTCAGTGTATATAAAATAAAAAATACATTCGTCAAGAGTCAAGAATCATAAGGTAAGTTGAGGACTTCCTGTTATTTGAAAGTCTGAGGTTTCTGGTCCCTTGGCAGGACAGCGAGCCTGAATCCTTCCTTCAGGATGTCATGGATCACCAAACTGGTCAGGTTTTAGGCCCCAGCTTCCTGGCCTCTTGTCTCAAGCATCCGAAGTCTGGTGCGGCCTGTTTAGGAACGAAGAAGCGAGGGGCCTGTTTTGCTCTCTCCTCCTCTATGGGAGATTCCTCTGTCTTTCACTCCTTTCAGACAGCCAACGCCGGGCCTGCGCCTGGAGCGGAGCAGGCAGACTTTGTGTGCCATGGAGCAGAAAAGAATAGGCTGTGACATTCCCGTAGCTTAGAGACCGTTAGGCCCTTTCAGAGTCCCAGCTCCATTTGAATGAAGCTCAGCCTCCAGCTCTGCTTTGCCCTCATGGAGAGCGGGCGGGTGGGAAAAGCCGGATTATTTTTTTACCCATCGGCACTTGAGTTTGCACAGCAGAGTTCTCACGCTGCCCGGACAACAGGGAATTAGGGCATTTTGGCTGGACAAGTGGAAAGTTCCTTATTGGTGAAGGAAAGGGAAGAATCGCTTCGGCTCTTCTCTAAATTCTGGAGGCCGGAGGAGCAGATGAAACCACAGGTGAGAGGCCCACGCTGCTGGCCTTCATGAAGTGAGTATGAGAACATCCTGGAGGAGAAGGCAGCCAGGATGGAAAAAGGACCACACTTCTCTGGCTGGGACCTTGGCGTAGGCTGGGCTCAGTTCTGCCCCAGAGTGATTTTCCTCCTGGTCAATTTATACGCAGGCTAGAAAGAATAACATTTTAATGCTAAAGAGCATAGCGGTTGCTTGGGGTGTTTGTTTTGCAAAGTGCGTGTATCTGATGGGAACGGCATATTATCCGCAGCAGGATTTTTCTAATATCGTTACAGGGAGGTTCATGGTGTGTTTGTGTGAGAAATATAGGCTGAGGTCTATGGCTCATACAGAAAGGACGACGTGTATTTTCACCCATGCACCAACTCTCCAGTTCTCAGATTGTGTTTCCTCCTCATAACCTTTCCTTCCTTCCCTCCCCCTTTTCCTTCCTCTCTTTCTCTCCTTCCTTCCTTCCCTTTGTTTCTCAGTCTTTTCCTTCCTTTCTTTCTTTCTCTCTCTCCTTCCTTCCTTTCCCCCCTCCCTCCCTCTCTCAGTCTTTTCCTTTTCTCTCTCCTTCCTTCCTTCTTTCTTTTTTCCTTCCTTCCTTCCTTCCATCCATCCATCCATCCATCTGGGTCCTTCTCTTTCTACCTGCCATCTCCTCTCAGTTTTTCCTTTGGCACATACAATTTATGTTCATTTTTCTCCCTGAAAACACAGGCAGGCAGACCAATATATTAATTTATAGGCATGTCTCTCTAAAGGGAAGAGGTGATCAGCAAATGAAATACAGTTGCTTCAATTTCAGCTTCAGTTCAGTCTAAATAGATGCAAATTTTAATTTTTCTGAATGAGGAAACCCCCCCCCCCACATACTCTTTGTTACTCTACTCATGGTTGCCTTGAAAATCCTACTGTGAGCTTTTTCTATCATATGCTGCCTGTATGAGCTACAATCCGCTTCCCCCCACCAGAGTATAGGTAACTCAGGGTTTCACACACACCACACACACACACACACACACACGCACACCAAAATGTGAAGGATGAAGGAAGGAGAATTTTAGAAAATGCCAAGAAAAAAAATATCTCATTTTTTTTTGCTTTCAGAGGATTTTTTTAAAGAATTGGTTAAGATTGGCTGAGAGTGCTGCAAAATGTAGACCAAAACTGAATTTTGCTTTGCAAAACTGAATTCTAATATTTATATAGTACATTTTATTTCCTCCTATTTTCCCAAATGGCAAAAACTAAGAAGAGGATACAAAAAAAAAAATCTAATAATAAAAAAAGTTTGTATCTTTCTTTCTATTTGGATATTATTAAAAAAAACTTATTTTGCTATCCTAGGTAGATGTAACTTGTGCCTAAACTCCACTAACAGATTGGATCTCTTGAGTAAACACACTTAGAGTTGCTGTTTTAATTTAATCAACATGTCATATAGTAAACTCTTATATGACTTCATAAAGTATAAATGATGTGCTGTATTTAATGTTTATTTAAAGTTGTAAATAAACTTTTATTTAACAACGAAATAAATACATGTGTGCCAGTCTTCTCTATATTTTTTTGCCGGGAGAGGAAGATTTGACGCAAATATTCTAAATGTATTTATTTGTCTATTTATTAATTAAATGTATATGCTGCTCATCTCACTTTATGGCTTAAAATTTCCTTAATTAATTTAATTAATTAGTTACTAATTAATAAAGTGAATTCCAGTTCTTCCACCATTATATAAGCCCCTGTTCCTACACCTTTCTTAGATAGGACAGACAAGAAAAGTCAGGATTTTAATTTCTGCTTTTTTTTTAACCTGCAGGTTGAAATGTTGAAATTCTCTGCCATGCCAATGGTACTGCTGTACTATTTGACTCTCTGGGGTAAGTGTTGATACAGGAGCTGTCATTGGTCTGGGCTAAATCCTATAGAACAGGGGTCCTCAAACTTGGCAACTTTAAGACTTATGGACTTCAACTCCCAGAATTCTCCAGCCAGCATAGCTAGTTGGAGAATTCTGGGAGTTGAAGTCCACAAGTCTTAAAGTTGCCAAGTTTGGGGACCCCTGTCCTATAGGCATATATTTTGTGAATGAGCAGTCTTGACATCCGCTGGCTGGTTATGCCATAGGTCAGGAGTCTCCAAACCCAGCAGCTTTAAGACTTATGAACTACAACTCCCAGAATTCCTCAACCAGAATTCTGAGAATTGAATTTCACAAGATTTAAAGTTGCCAAGTTTGGAAATGCCTGCTGTGTAGGTGGATGCAATTAGTTGGCCACACATTAAGCTTGTGACTGGGTAAGCTTGTAAATTTCTCCTAGCTTTGGGGCATACGTGTTGCTTGCCAAAAACGGATCCATTTGGAGCAGTTTTTTCTTTTTCCATTTTTTTCTGGGCCAGCAACAGAGACAGGCTGGGAAGCTTGAAGCTTCCATCTTATTTCTTTTTGCAGGATTACTGAATTACTGGTCTCTGACAGTTTTTCTTTTGCAACCCAAAATGCTGGTTATCCCCTTTAAACAGTGGTGGGATTCAATTTTTTTTTACTACTGGTTCTGTGGGCGAGGCTTGGTGGGCATGGCAGGGGAAGGATACTATAAAATCTCCAGTCAGAGGTGGTATTTGCCGGTTCTCTGAACTACTCAAAATTTCCACTACTGGTTCTCAGAACTGGTCAGAACCTACTGAATACCACCTCTGCCTTTAAAGCTCTATGTGGCTTTGGGGCCAGGTTATCTGAAAGGTAACAGGTTCCCTATTATACCCACCTGACCTACCAGGATGGGAGGGCAGGGTATGATATAGGTCCCATGGATTAGGGATTCTTATCTAGTGAGGCCATGAAAAAGGTAGTGGCCCCTTTCTCGATGGAATATCATCCCTCCCTCCCCAAAAAGATATGGTTGATTCCACCCTTTCGCTTTTCTGATAATAACATGATTTTCTCAGTCGGTCTGGGGACCACGAAGGGAGATGGAGCCCATCAAGTGGCTCATTTGATTATGTTATTGTTGCTATGGGGCGGGGGTTGGGTTTTTATTATCCATTGCATTTTTAAATGTTGTAAGCCGCCCATGTTGTAAGCAGCCCAGAGTCACCTCTGTGTGTGAATTGGGTGGCTATGTAAATTTGTCAAATAAAGGAAGAAAGGAAGGGAGGGAGGGAGGGGAGGAAGGAAGGCAGATAGGTAGGCATGGGTCTAGTTCTACTTTCTGGAAAGTACATGTTTGGATACAGAAAAAATTTCATTCATAAATACAGTATACTCGGAATCATTGTTATAAATTGGAAGAACACACTCTACAATGTCAAGTTCCACTCAATTATGGGCCATTGATTGGTTCTAAAATATTTGATTTGCATGCAGAAGACTCCAAATCCTGTCTAACTGATTTATCTAAATTTCAGAAAGAGTCACTATCAGTCAAAATAGATATGAAAAACTAATTTAGCTGATTGCGGCTCAACTCTTCCTCGTGTCATAATGAATTTCAGATTTGGCTTAGGATGGATAGTCCCAGGCATTGAGATCTAGGAGTGAAAATTTTGGACTGATACAAAGCTTTGGTGGAACCATCTTCAAATGCATATATCTGATCGATACATTTAAGTGATTATTCATATGATTTTTGCATCATGTGTACTGGGTTATGAATTAGGTGCTATGCTTCAGGCGCCAGGTTAGAAACCAGCAGATAGTGATTTCTAGTCCTGCTTAAACACAAAGCTAGCTGGGGGACTTAGTCACTCTCTTCTAGGCAGGCGTAGGCAAAGGCAAACTTCCAAAATCTGACTTGAAGGCAAAAAAAAAAAAATCAAAAACCCAACTTTATTATTATAGTACCTATAAAAATATGTATGCATGCTTGTGCAGTTGTAAAAACAGATGTACACACATATACCTAAGCCAGAGCGATAAAGGTAGCTTAAGTAGAGGGTTTTATTTTGTGCATCCTACTCTAGAAATCTCAGCAGAACAAAATCCCAAAGCTTAAAGCAGGAAGGGTTAAAAAAAATAAAAAGACCTGTATGAAAAAATATACTCTTGATTATGCTTCCCAGGGATGGCAACATCTTGCTCCACAGAGTTGCTTGCCAAGGTTTCCATGTCGCCCATAGGACAAAGCGTTTTCTGTCTGATTGTAACTCATATATCTCTGTCAGTTTCCAACACATTTCAGTCAGGCCATGCATGTAATGACATGCCTTGATCATCCTGTGCACCCCTCAAGCCCTGGAGGCCCATTACTAGTCCAACTAGGTCACAACAAGCATTGGTAGGAGTATAGTCAGGCTCTGAGAGCAGCTGGCACTGTGCCACATCTATTTACAGCTGCACAGGTAACTTCAAATGCTGACAGTAGATTCTGGTGGGTCGGTCCTAAAATTTAGCAATAGCACTTAAGACTTATATACCGCTTCATAGCGCTTTACAGTCCTCTCTGCATAGTTTACGAATGTCAGCATATTGCCCCCAGCAATCTAATTCTTCATTTTACCAACCTCAGAAGGATGGAAGACTGAGTCAACCTTGAACCGGTCAGGATCAAACTCTTGGCAGTGGGCAGAGTTAGCCTGCAATACTGTATTCTAACCACTGCGCCACCAGGGCTCAGAGGAGAACGGGCCAAGATCTGCCTAAAAACTCTACCCATCATCCTTGTAATGTGTCCAATATACTCTGCATATTGTTGGAACCACCTTCTTCTTTTTTTTTTTTTAAAAAAAGAAGTTGCCTAGGGTTTAAGGCAGGATCTTGAGAACACTGATAATTCTCAAATCTATATCGATGTACAATGCTTCTTGATCATTTAATGATTCCCACATCTCATATTCCAATGCTTTTTTGAGAAAGTATGATGGGACATTCTGTAACTGCACCCGTCTTTCCCTGAGAGAAATATCACAAATTGCTTTCAACAATGATGCTTAACCTTCGGGTAGATAAAGTAAAATAACAAGGGAGCAATTGAATATGTAAAAAGTCTCCCCTCTGAATAATTGCAAGCCATCAAATATATCTAGAACGACAATGTTTTTTTTTATTGCCCTTCTGAAATTGACACTGACAGCAATTATTATTAGCTGGATTTTCATCTTCCAGAAGCTCAAGGCATTTTAATTTAATGTCCCATTCTCCATCCACATTCTAGACAGAGAGGACCACTGGTTTGAAAAAGAGGTAAAAGAGGCCATCTGTGTCAAAACTGAATAGCCCTCTTTCAACAGAGAGGGAGGGAAATGACACCACCTATCTCTTGTTTACAACACAGTCCTTTTGGCAGTTCCAAGAAGGTTCCACACCCATTTGCACTCTGATTCAGGTATCCGGAGGGCACAGATAATCCCCCACGGGGCCTCAGACTCTCAGAAAGCTAATGACCCACTTTCGAAGTGCAAAGAACCAGATGACTGCAAGGAATATAAATCCTTCCATTCTCCCTGCATTCAGCCAGCACTGAGGATGCTTCTTGGATGAGGAGTGAAACATCTTCAGGAAAAAGCAAAGCAAATCCAATTGCCTTTTGAAAAAGCAGCTTGGGGACATCCATGATTTGGATGATTGAGAATCTCCATAGACATTCACACAACAAGAATTCAGTGAAGTAGGTTGAATGGAGAAATAGTAACTCCTGTAAAGGACCCTAACAGACTTCCACGACTGAGTGCAGATTTAATTGGGGTGTTCCTGATCCTAGCAAAAACCCTTAACATTATATTACACTTTCCCTTCGGTGAAGCTTCTCTCCATCTGTCTCAAGAAAAGGCTTGGCCGTGTTGGAAGAAATATCCTTCTGGGTTCAGTTCCAATTGGGAAGAAAGACCTTGGAAACATGGTGCCTGCTTGGACAGATGGTTTACTGGTAGACAGGACCACATGGCTTGGAGATCCTGGGTGAAAAGGGAAGAGATGCTGAGAGTCTCTGCCCTCTCTGGGCTTTGAACTTCCTGGGGCACAGGAAGTGTATCCTGATTGGTTGCTGTCAGAGGTCTTAGCTAGCGTTGTAGGTTGCCTGGGTGCTAAGTTTGCTTGAAACTTGCTGGGTGGTGCCATGAAGGCAGGGGTGGGGATTCTACCGGTTCTGCCTGGTTCTGCCAAAGTGGTAGCTCTGAAGATCAGAGAACTGGTTCTCTCTCACGGGTCTTCTCTCCTTCTGTTGGGCCGTCCTTTTCCTACTTTTTCAACCTCAGCTGCTTTGTGCGGCACAGTTTAGGTTGAAAAAGCAGGAAAGGAGAGGATGGTCAAACGTTGCGTACGCACACGCAGTGCTTGTCAACTGTGCGGGTGGCACAGCTGATGATTTGTTTCAAATGCTGCACCTGCACGCGCAGTGCGTGTTTGGCACACTCACCAAATCAGTTATAACACCGGTTGAATCCCACCCCTGAAAGAAGGGCAACTAAATGGCTCTGCCTGAAGGAGGTAGATCTTTGTTATGTAGAATAGACTGGCCCAGGCCTTAATGGCCCATTAACAAATGTTGGGGGGTGGGGAGGGTTGAGTTTCTGCCTCTCTGAGTTTCTACTTCTCTTTTAGGGGAAATATTCTGCCTTTTTAGTGTATCCCAAAACATTTCACTTCTCTAGGAAGCTTTTAACTTCCAACAGCCGGAGGCAAAAGAAACTTTGCCCCTATTTGAGACCCATGGAAAGACATTTCTTAACAGGTGTGGCTTCCAAGCATTTTGACCTCCTACTTTCTTAGAAATTAGCTCTCCTGAATGCCCAGGTGTGGCCCTTTGGAATGCACGAGGTTTGTGCATTCCAATGTGGCTGGGCAGACACATTGTGTGAGTTAATGATTGGCAAAGATTTGGAGGTGGGAGGTTAGCTATTAATATTTTTTTTTAAAAAAAAAGCAGAAGGCAAAGAACAGGTTGAGTTGTGAGGCCGAGTTGGAGATGGAGCACTAAGCTCTAAATAGCTGGTGGAACGAGGCCCATGTGTATGGGCAACACTCCAACACTTCTGTGACCCACTAAATTCCCATGTGAAAATTCAAGCAGCAGTCACAACATGGCTCAGAATTTATTCATTCCCACCGTTGCAATAGTAAATAATAGGGGAAACCTCCCTAGTCTCTCTGCCAGAATCAGAAATGGGTGGAATTATAAATAATCAAACCCTCCCTGTGCTAAATGTTATGGCACTGGTCCACTTGAGCTTCCTCCTCCCAATTGACAGGATCCGAGGCAGGGTTAGGCCTCCTCTGCCAAGGCGGACATCCTTCATGCCTGTTAGACTCAGTCTTGAACACGTGACAGTCCCTTTTTCAGGTCCTCTTAGTAAGCTGCAGAGTCATAAAAGGAGAAAACGATTTTTTTTTCTTGGTTCTAAAGAGGTGTAAAGTAGAGTCTACACCAAAGTTTATTTTTTATGTTTCGAGAACAACGTTCATCTTTTCATTGTTGCAGATAGACAGTTGAGCGGCATGGTGGTCTATTGCTGAAGATGCTTGCCTCCCACTTGAAAGGTTGTGAGTTCAATCCTAGGGAGTGGCAGATATTTCTCTCCTAGCGCACAAAGAAAAAATATCTGTTGTAAACTCCGCATGGTGTCAGGAAGGGCATCTGGCCAGTAAATGCTTAGCTTCGTCCAGTCACCCTGACTTCATTCTGAATTAAAGGATTATTAGAGGATCTTAAAATGAGAGTTTATCATTGCAGAGAGATGGCTCTGTATTTCAGAAGTATCTTATTAGTTTGCATTGATCCTGACATATGAGCATCTTGGAGATAAACAGAACTACAACTTTGGGTCATCCTCCCTGAATCTATCTCAAAGTGTAGTGCCTAAAACTGGATGTAGCACAATTCAAAATAAAGCAAAATGATTGCTTCCTACCGAAATGATATTTCTACCAATGAAGCCTCAAATTTCCCTTCTTCACAGCCACGTTACTCATATTCTGTTTGCAATCAACTACTCCAATTCTATTGTTTATCAAGTGTTCTTACCAAGCTAAATAGCCACCATTTTATATCTGGGCCTGTGATTTCTATCATGTCAATGAGGAACTTTGCATTGGTCTCTGCTGCATTTCATTATATTTTCAGCAATTTTCTCTAACGTATCAAGATCATTTTTGAATTTTATTCTGGCTTCCAGAGTGTTAGCTAGCCCATCTAATTTTGTATTATCTAAAATTTAATAATCATTCCCTACCTGTCCTCATTCAATTCATTAATAAAACATATTTTAAAAATATGGGAATCTTTGGGCACTCCATCACTACTTCACTGTTGATAAAGTGCTAATGAGCACTCCTCAAATAAGATGTTCAAATAAGGTCTCTGTCTACCTGATTTTCAGGGCATTCAGTTCATTCTTTAATTAGCTTGCTAATCAAGCCGAAAGTGCTTTACAAAAACCTTTGCTGAAATCAAGATAACATATGCATGCAGCTTTCCCATATTTTATAAATTGGAACTACCTGGTTTAAAAAAACAGATAACTTTAGTGGGGCAAAGTTTCCTGAGAAGTCTATGCTGATTTTTAGTAATTACCACATTGTTCTCAAGAGTGCTTCAAGATCCATTTAGGATTTGCTCTAGAATTTTCCGAGGTTGTCTGATCTACAGTTCCATGGGTTCCCCTTTTCTCCCTTATTTCTTTTTTCCTGATTCTTGAAGTAGAGATAAATTGTCCCTTTTACCAGTTCTTGTTGTTCAGTATCCTGGGATGAAATTCTTCTGATCCTGGAGATTTAAATTCATCCAAATAAATAGATATTTCAAGATGATGTTTACATTCTGATTTTCCCCTCTACCAGTCACTTTGATTTATATGTAATGTAATGTATGGTTGAGTGTAGCAGATTTTTTAATACCCTGTGGCTAAGAACAAAACAACAACAACACACCAGAGGTGGTATTCAGCAGGTTCTGACCCATTTTGGAGAACCGGTAACAGAAATTTTGAGTAGTTCGGAGAACCCGCAAATACCGCCTCTGACTGGCCCCACCCCCATCTATTCTCTGCCTCCTGAGTCCCAGCTGATTGGCTGGGTCTTCTTTTGTTGCCCTGCACAGGAGAATGGAGCTGGAAAGCAGGTTAGTGGGGTGGGGAGAGAATGGGATTTTACAGTAATCTTCCCCCAGGAATAGCCACCAAGCCATGCCTACCAAGCCACACCCACAGAACTGGTAGTAAAAAAAAATTGAATCCCACCACTGAACCACACCCCTGTCTCACATGGGTTGAGGGTGAGACGAAAACAATGTCAGTAGGACATGGCAGAAAAGAGACACTGCCAAGATATAGTGGTGGTGGGATTAATCCAATCAAAATCTTTGTTGTAAACTTTAGGCCAGGAAACACTTCAATAAATATAAATATAATAAATATATATAAACCTGTAATGAATAAAACTAAAATGTAGACATAAAATGCCACACAACTAGATAAAGTAAACAAAATAACAATACAGGTAACAATAGCAATTACAAATTTTTTTATTGTGGGTAATCCTTGATTATGACCGCAACCGAGAGCAGAATTTCCATCGCTAAGCTAGGTGATTGTTAAGTGAGTTGTGGCCAGTTTTATGACCTTTTTTGCAATAGTCATTAAGTGAATCACTGCAGTTGTTAAGTGCTTTATGTGATTAAATGAATCCAGCTTCCCTCACTGACTTTGCTTCTCAGAAGCTGGTTGGGAAAGTCACAAATGGTGATCACACCACCCTAGGATGCTGCAGCCATTGTAAATGCCGGTTGCATGGATTTTGATTATGTGATGGTAAGGATGCTGCAGTTGTCATAAGCGCGAGCACCGGTCATAAGTTACTTTTTCTTTCAGTGTTGTAACTTTGAGCAGTCGCTAAATGAATGGTTGTAGGGTTGAGGACTGCCTATACTTTTTAATCGTAGGCAAGATGGATGGCACAATTGTTGGCACCAAACTGGGCAACTGGGAAAGGTGATGAGTCAGAACCAAAGAAACTTCTTGGATGAGAAGTGAAATGTCTTCAAGAAAAAAAAAACCCAAGAAAAAGTCTAGCTGCCTTTTGAAAAACACCTTGGTGATAAAGAGATCATGTGGTCCTCAATGAGGAATTCTGCCTCCTGCTTAACTCCCAGTTGGTTCTTCTTAGGATTCTAATTATGCAATTCCATGATGGACATTAAATTTCAAGACGCGTGATTAAAATTCACTGCAAAAACACACCACAACCTGGGGAAAGGATCCACAGAAAATGAGTAAGGTTTTGGGTTCTCCCTGTAGCCTGACCTCCTCCCCTGCCAGAAGCAAGCATTTGCAGACGAGTGGCTGAGAGAGTTAGAATTCCCAGATGTGGGTTTGTTTATTATTTTAATCTTCAGTATGTGCATAGTAGATCATTAGTGCGTTTGGAGAGAAAAATCACAGTTATTAGCTTCTCCTTCGGGAAGGGAATACAAAATAAGAATTTATTTTTCATTCTATTCCCTCCAGAACTAAAAGGCATTGGATGCAGTCTAACCAATAGCTAAAGAAATCCGGAAGCTTAAATTTTGGTTATAATTACTGGGATGGACCAGTTGGGATATGGGAACCCTTCATATGTCAGAATAAGAAGTCATGGTTTATTCTTGGTTTCTGTTTGTTGACTTTTGGGGAAAATAAGAAGGTTGGCCTCTGGCAGAAAGAGCTAAGCAGGAGCAATCAAATATGGTCAGTAGTGGGATTCAAAAATTTTTACTACGAGTTCTGTGGGCATGGCTTGTTTGGGCGTGGCATGGCTTGGTAGGTGTGGCTTGGTGGCTGTACTGTAAAATCCCCATTCCCTCCCTACTCCAGGGGGAAGGATACTGCAAAATCTCCATTCCCTCCCCACCCCACTATCCTGCTTTCCAGCTCCGTTCTCCTGTGCAGTGCAACAAAAGAAGACCCAGCCAATCAGCTGGGACTCGGGAGGCGGAGAATAGATGGGGGTGGGGCCAGTCCGAGGTTAAACCATTCGTTTAGTGACCGTTCGAAGTTACAAAGGGCTCCGAAAAAAGTGACTCATGACCATTTTTTAGACATACAACCATTGCATTATCCCCGTGGCCACGTGATCAAATTTCAGACGCTTGGCAACATATTTATGACCATTGCCGTGTCCTGGGACCACGCGATCACCTTTTGCAACCTTCTGAAGAGCAACGTCAATGGGGGAAGCCAGATTCACTTAACAAGCAGGTTACTGATTTAACCACTGCAGTGATTCACTTAACAACTGTGGCAAGGAAGGTCGTCACAGGGGGCAAAGCTCCCTTAACAACTGTCTTACTTAGCAATAAAATTTTGGCACTCAATCGTGGTCGTACGTCGAGGATTATCTGTCTTAGCAACGTATTAAAATCCTTGCAAACAACTTTCCGTGACATGCAAACTTAGCCTTTATATCTTCCTTCTGGAACAATAGTTGCCTTGTTTTCATCTCTGCCTTTTGAGACTTTTTTGGCTTGGATGTACCAGGTTGGGGTCGTTTACTTAGTTGACACTATTATTAATCATGAATAGATTTCTTTGTGGGGAGGGGACATAGGGATCATATTTTCCCCCCAATGCCAAGGTATTTCATCAGTTCTTCAAATGGACTGATTGGGGTTTTTCTCTTGTTTCTTTGACCAGGCCAGATAGCTGATGTTCAAGGCACAGAAGAGCCTGACTTATACCATGGTTGTTTGGAAGGAAGCTGTTACCCAGCCACAGGAAACCTGCTCATTGGGAGGGCCCAAAACCTGAGCGCGACATCAACGTGTGGCCTGGAAGAGCCTCAGGAGTATTGCATTGTCAGCCATCTTCAGGTAACACTGGTTGAGAATTTGTGAGCTCATGCTGGCTGGGGGAATTTCTGGGAATTGAAGTCCACAAGTCTTAAAGTTACCAAGTTTGGAGACCCCTGGACTAGAGATACCGGAAACACACCCCATGAAGGTCATTGAAGATAGGTGCAATCCTCCTCCTCTTTTAACAACCCCATAATCCCTTGTGGGGTGGAGTCTGGGCAATTGAATAGAGCTGAGTATTTACTGGCCGGATGCCTTTCCTCTCACTAATGCGGTGTTATATTAAGCAGATATATTCTCAGTGTGCCCAAAGAGAGAAATATCTGCCTCTAACGAGGATCAAACTCACAGCCTCCTAATTGTGAGGCGAGAGCACCACCTCTAGGCCACCGCGCCACTCACTGAAGATAGGTGCGGTGCTTTTGTATATTTAAACCGGAATGATTCTTTTGACAGGACTCTGAGAAATGCTTCATTTGTGACTCACGTTCAGCCTCTTTCCGTGAGAGCCACCACATTGAGAATGTCATCTACCTTACTGGACAGAATGGTGAACAGACCTGGTGGCAGTCTGAGAATGGTAAGAATTAGAAATTTGGAAATTATGGAAACTAATGTTTCATCTTCCTTGGTTCCAGATGTCCAGCAACTCCCCACAATTACATATCTCCAGATCTTGTTGGCCTTCAACAAGATATTTTTCATCATTAGTGTTGTCAGATCTTGGCGGACCACAGCTGACCTCTATATCGGCAACAGTATATTTGCTGCCACCTAGTGGTCTCTCAGACTTTTGAAGTCCAGATCTGATAGTCATATTGTATTTTTCATGAACTGAAATAGAGATATTGTGCAAGATAGAATGCCTGGTCCAAGATAAGGTGAAACTAGAACTCATAGTTTCCAAGTTTCTAGCCTGAGGCCTAAACCTCTACACCAAATGGAGTCTCTGTTCCAAATTCTGCGGAATTGCAATTACCAGTATCAATCACCACTGGCTAAACTGGAACTACAGGGAACTATACTTTTAGGAGTCAATGTGATGCCATGGTTAAGAAGTTGAATTAGGACCAGGTCAAGTCCAATTTAGCACTGAGAACATTTTGAGCCAATTGTTCTCTCTCTTTTCACCCAACCTGTGTTACAAGATTTAAGCCGTGAGAATAAAATGAATGGGGATCTTCAAAGAACTGCTTTGAGGAAAGGCAGAATATAAATTTAACACACATTGAAAATGTGTCAGTAAAGGGTTTCAACTCTTAATAACCACATGGCTGGACATTCTCCAGAATGTTGATTCCTGTGGTCTCTCATTGAACAAGGTTTTTGCAAGTTTGAAGCCTTATGGAGAAGATTGCAGAATCTAGAGCAGAGCAGAAGGAAAAATAATGTTACCTGCGGCTTTATGAGACTCTTTTTCAAAGACCTTCAGGAGAAAATCTGATAATAGCCTGAGACATTAAATCAAAACATAAAAGTAAGAATTGAGAATAACGCTTGGTGGCAACAACCTTTGCATCTCAGACACTTTGTCTCTCAGAATGTGCTGTATGGGGAGAGCTATCTCAAAGCTTTACGGAAGATTTTTATCTCCATACATGACTAAAAGAAATGGAGACGTGTTATCTAAATTCAGCTCTCTTTTTTTGTGGCCTTCTTGTCCTCTTTGGGTCAGAAGATGCCTGTTTGCTGAAGAAAACTTGATTTTTGGAATCTCCAAGCACAGTTTGGAATCTTGAATGATGGAGGTGCTCAGTCATGTGGGAAGCTGCCGTGACAAGTTAGACTTCCTACTGGACCCACTCGCCCTTCAGTTCATGAAGACTAATGAATGGAGGGGAGTTATAAAAAGGGTTGGTGGTGCTAGATAGCAAGTCCCTGTTTTCTTGTGCGTTACAAGATATCAAGACCACTTGAGCAGAGTTCTTGGGAAAGGTCTAATTTTTGTCTTTTGTCCATCTCCAGGTGTAGAGCAGGTCAGCATTCGATTAGACCTGGAAGCTGAATTGCACTTTACTCACCTAATAATGAAATTCAAGGTACTGTACTGAGGATCTATGAATCATCAGATGCAATAGAGAGGATATTGGATGTTTTGCCTACCTAGGAGATAGAAAAAGTACCCGACAAAAGTATGGCATAGCTATATTTTTTGATGTTTCTTTTAAAAAACTTAGTGGGAAGATGAATGTGCTTTTCTGCAAATACTTCGGTTTCTGGGCCAATTTAAGTTTGTGCCAATGGAGGATTTCCTCTCTTTTTAGAGAAGTGATTTTCATAAAAACCCCAATGAGCAGGGAAAAGTTTAAAGACTTCTCACTGCCTGCTGCGCGCTTGATTATTATTCCACACATCCATTCCCGGTGGCTATTTGCATTTTTGAAACTCATACATGTTAATACAATAATATATTTAACCTTTAAGCTGGCACTTAAATGCTACCCAGCACGGCAGGAATTTCTGTTTTTAATGAAGGCTGAGTGTATCATGAAGTGCACCACAAAGCAACTTTGCCTACCTCTACCTCTGGTGGGTTTTGAATTATACTCCACAAACCTTCTCTGCGTAGAAGTAGGCTGCATTTCATAGACCATGAAACATAGTTTGTTCCATCCAGTTTGGATATTAGAGACAAACTTGGTAAATTGACTTGTGCCATCTTTCTCTGGATATTAAACTATAATTAATAAAACACAGCTATCTGTTTACAGTATTGTGTAACTACACTAACTCTCACTTTATATAAGCCTGTTATATCCTGGTTAGTCTGACTGTGCAGCTGGGCCCATAACCAGTGTTAGGGATACACCCTAGCAGAATCTGCACGGCAGTCAGGCAGGCAGGCAGGCAAAATATGTGAGATAAACGTTTTTGTAGCTTACACTCAGTAAAACAGATACACAGTGCTAATTAAATAGTTTATTCCAGTAAGAATTATAGCATAGTCAAACAGTCCATATATCATTCACTAGTTCAGTCCGTTCAGGGATTATTCAGTTGCAAATTCCAGTGTTGAGAAAGAGAGGTCAGTAAACTTACAAATATCAGTCCAGTAATATATCTCCTTGCAGTAGAGATATGAAGAAGTCAAAAACTCCTCTCTTCCTTCAGCAACTCAGCAGTAGGGGAAACACGCAGTTAATAAACCATCAATCCATCAAACCAGTCAATCGTCAGCAATCAATCAGGTTCTCTTGCTCCCTCTTATGGTGGTTTCACACCACACCCAAAATTACATGCTTTGCAGTTTTAAAGTGACACACACTTAAACTTACAATCATAGTTTATATATATTATTTTACCCAAACTACGTTAGGTAACCTATGTTATTCCTAACACCTACTCTGCATCCATGTCCTCACTACTTCCTTCCTCAGTTGAATAAAGTTTTCCCCAATAAGTTTAACCCACAAAAACTAGGGCGATTCCCCCCCACACACATTTGTTTTGTGCGGTCCTTGGTGGTCTCTGAGTTTGATTGTTTTCTTGTTAGACATTTCATTATCCATCAGTGCTAGAAGGTGTGGGGTTTACTCTCTCTCTATACAAAAGGCTTGCCCTATGAATATTAGTGAGAGTGTTCTTGATGGTTCCTTGATTAAGCTGTGGTTTATGGTTTGATTGTTTGTCTCATTTGGTAATTCCTGGATTGGGGTATTTTGTTTGCTTCTTGATTGTTGATCTTGTATTAATCTTGGTATTGTTTTCTACTTATCTGGGTATTGATTGCTGATGAGTTTGTGTTTTGGTCTTTTTTGGTCTTTTATTTATTAAATTTCTATGCCGCCCACCTCCTTTACAAGGTGGCTCTAGGTGGCTTTTATGTTTCCTTTTAGATAAATAAATAGATAGATAGATAAATTTATTGTCATTGTACTCAGAAACCTGAGAACAACGAAATAAGGTGCTTTTGATTACCTCTTTTGAAGGATCTATGTTGGGTATATGGATACACCAACCAGGTTTGGGTTGAATAAATATGTAAACCTAGGTTTAAGTGTATTGTAGCTTTAAGCACAAGAAACTGCAATGTCATTGTGGGTGCGGTTGCAGGCAGTAATATAGGTAGGAAGGGAAACGTAATAGACCCGGCTTCTGGATGCACCTGGTTTCTGATCCTGGTTTCGAGTTCCTGTTCCTGGTTCCTGGTGTTACTGGTCTCTGGTCTATCTGCTGTCTGCCTGCCTACTACTGTTTACTCATGTATGAGATGTCTACTGTGCAAGATACTTCTCTCTACTGAACACAAGGACTGTTTGCTTGGTGAGCTGTTTCATACTCAGCATTGTCTATGAGAGAGAGGTATCAGAAGAAGAATATTTACAAGCATATAAAGACATTGTATTTACTGTTTAAAAGACTAGGTAACTGGATGGATATACTGGATACTGACATATGGACTGAATGACTCTTCTTAATCTCTGTGTGAATTAAATACCTATTTTAAAACCACAAACAGTGTTTTTGTCTCAAGTGTGTGTATACTCTTGGGCCCAGCCTCACTCTCATTTGACTGCCTGGCTTGACTGCTGCTGTGCACTCTGCTCGGGGGTTTATCCCCAAACACTAACAATCTATTAATGTTATTTATATCTAGAATCAACTTGATTCTTCTCAGATTTCTTGGACCACAGCTCTATAATTTCAAGTCACTTGCCATGCTGATCTTGGGTTGCTGGGATTTGCATTCCAGAGACTCTCGGCCTCAGAATAAGCTACCTGTAGTGCACATCTGAAGAACCAACTTACTATGGGATCCTCTAATCCAAGGGTGTCAAATTCCTGTCATCCTGGCTGTGTCACGTGACATATCAGGACTTTCCCCCCTTTCACTAAACTGGGTGTGGGCGTAGCCAGCACGTGACGCATCTAGCCCTGCTCTAGTCCACGAGTAGCGCAAATGATGTCGACACAACTTTGCCCTTTTCCTGCCACTGATCTCAGCAGTGCTTTGTAATGAGACCAGTGATTGAAACTATCCTAACAATTCATTGTGGGACCTGTTAGGTTCAGCAATTGGGGGTGTTGCTTCCTCAAGCAGATCTGGGACTATTTATTTTATAAAATTTATTTATTTGATTTGTCGATCGCTTACAAGATAATAGGTATAAGTATAAACGTGAGTAAGAATATAGGAAATAGGTACGAATAAATGGGGACAATAGGACAGGGATGGGAGGCACTATGGTGCACTTATGCACGCCCCTTACAGACCTCTTAGGAATGGGATGAGGTCAATAGTGGATAGTTTGAGGTTAAAGGAGTGGGGGTTTGAGGATGTAACAACCATTTTGTTGCTGAAGTCATACTTTTTGCAATCAAATCTGGAAAGGTTTACATTGAGTTTGTATCTGTTGTGTGCTCTTGTATTGTTGCGGTTGAAACTGAAGTAGTCATTGATTGGTAGGACATTGCAGCAGATAATTTTGTGTACTACGCTTAAGTCCAATTGTAGGTGGCGCAGTTCAAGATTTTCCAAGCCACAGATTTCAAGCCTGGTGATATAGGGTTGCAAGCAGAGAAGTGTAGTACTCTTCTCGTGAAATATTTCTGGACTCGCTCAATTGTATTAATGTCCGATGTACAGTGCAGATTCCAGACAAATGAGCTGCATTCAAGTATTGGTCTAGCAAAAGTTTTGTATGCCCTAGTTAGCAATTCAATATTTCCAGAGGAGAAGCTTCGTAAGATTAGATTTACAACTCTTAATGGCTTTTTGGCAATGCTGTTACAGTGAGCTCTGGCACTTAGATCATTAGATATGAGTGCTCCGAGGTCCTTGACAGAGTGGGGGTCATCAATGAGGTCATATCCGCCTAGCTTGTATTTGGTGTACTGATTTTTTTTACCAATATGTAGGACAGAGCATTTGTTGGTCGAGATTTGGAGTTGCCAAATGTTTGACCATTCAGATACATAATCAAGGTCACTTTGAAGAACAGTAGCATTGTCGGTGGTGTTGAATAGTTTTACATCATCCGCGAAGAGGACGCAGTTACTTATAAGGTGATTGCAAAGGTCATTTATATAAGAGTATAAAGAGTGTAGGTCCTAGAATGTTGCCTTGGGGAACACCGCTGTTAACTGGAGCAGGGTTTGCTCTTATGGGAGGAGATATCCTGTATCAGAGGGCTCGATGGGTCTAGTCATCAGTCGAAACCTGATTTGGGAGGGTGAGGGGGAAGCAGTAAAACATGAGAGAGCCTTCCCTTCTATTTACTGGGACTTGCTGAATCACTGTAGCATCTGATCCAACAAGGTGTTATGAGTTAAATTGACACTCAACCCTCTGGGACATGTCTTGTAGTTATTCCATGGGTGGAAATATATCAGAAAAGTGCCAGTAAAATAAAAATGTATTATATTCTTAAGCAAGTCATGGAAACTTTTCCATAATACCATGGAAATATACTGTATTATATAGACATTGAGTGAATGAATGAAATGAATGAAATGAATGAAATGAATATACAGATGGTCTGATGGAAAAAAGCGAATTAAACTTGCATCTAGAAAAGTCAATCTCTTTTGTTCCCAAATACCTGACTTCCTTTGGTATTCATGTTTGTTTTGGACATTTTAATGTAGAGATCATCTCTTAATGATGTACAGGGAAGTTAGCTGGAGTAGCGACAAATATTCTTCCATTAATTCTTCCCTTCCTTCTCTTTCAGACTTTCCGTCCAGCAGCAATGCTCATTGAGCGTTCATCAGATTTTGGGCAAAGCTGGAAAGTTTATCGCTACTTTGCCTTCAATTGCTCCAAGCTCTTCCCAGATGTTCCTACTCAGATCCCAACACATGTCAATCAAGCAATGTGCGATGAGAGATACTCTGAGATTGAGCCCTCCAACTATGGTGAAGTCAGTGCTATTCTATGGAAGTAGAATGAAATGCAATTGGCAATGTCACTTGGAAGACCAGAGAATTGTATCTCTGTAATTATATGAACAACCTGGGGAAGATAAGCAGTCAGTCTTTATTTACTCAAGCAGATTTAAATCCCTTCCCCAAATTCCCCCACTGTTTTCTATGCAGCTCCAGAAACACAAGCTCATTCATAGCTCAGTTTGTCTCTCTCAACTACGATTAATGGAACTAGAATACAAATAGATACTCGGCTCTGAGAAAGGGCTGCAATCGGATAGCAAACCTAATTTGCAGGCAGGACATCCTAGATTTAATTTAGGTAAGGAGTGTGAAGGTTTTTAAGGTGGCTGCCTCTCAGCATGGATAATACAGAGTGAAGAAAAAATAATGGCCTGGTTCACTGTAGTGCAGTTGACTGTGTTCACCGAATAGAAAGATCAATGTCACATTCAAATTAATTTTTAAACAATAGAAAGGAATATAAAATCTCAAGTTTTGAGCGTGAATGCAGACATCCACAATTGTTGAAATGACCTTGGAAAGTAGTAACTGAGGTTTTTGAGATGAATGTCTTGGGGCAAACTGGATGAGGTCTAGTCTTAAAATGTTATCAAACGGTAGCCTTGGGAATACCGAACTTAAATTGGGATATATCTCTGAAACAGCAGTGGGATCTTACCTGTTCCACTACCTAATGTGCACACGCAGCTTTCCACACACCAGCTGAGGCCTGCAGCGCCAATCAGCTGAGAGGATAAAGAAGAGAAAAGTGCAGGGGCGGGTGGGAGAGCCAATCCTGCGCTTTTCTCTTCTTTCTCCTCTCAGCTGATCCTCAGAGGCCTTTTTTCCTCCTCTCAGCTGATCGTGGGAGGCTTTCTTTTTTTTTTTTTTACTACCGGTTCAGTCGAACCAGGCTGAACCGGTAGAATACCACTACTGCTCTGAAGGGAATTGGTCAGTTTCATCTGGTTTGTGGAAACTCCTTGTTAAGTTCTTACACACATAGCCCTTGACTTATGACCCCAACTGAATCCAAACTTTCTGTTGCTAAGTGAGGGATTTGTTAAGTGAGTTTTGCCCCATTTTATAACTTTTCTTGCCACAGTTTATATTAAATTGTTAATAACCCAGTTGTTAAGTGAATCTGGCTTCCCCATTGACTTTGCTGGTCAGAGATTCACCAAAGCTTTATCACCCGACCCTGGGACACTGCAACCGTCATAAGTATGAGTCAGTCACCAAGTGTCTGAATTTTGATCATGTGATCACCAGGATACTGCAATGGTTAAGTGTGAAAGTCACTTTTTCAGTGCTTTTGTAACTTTGAACGATCACTAAATGAACTGTTTCAGGGTGTGTTAAATTTTATGACTTTCAATTTGCAACCATTAGGTGTTCTGACCAAGGCTTCCTGAGACATTAAGAAATACACATTAGTCCCAAAACCTTTTGTTTTATTTCAACAGTTGTGAATTATAGTCATTCACCGCCCATATTGAGTCTCAAACAGTTTGTAAATAGTCCCACAGAAGTCTGCCAAAGTCCTTTGGGATAAGTCTGATAAGCACACACCTTTATCTTTCTTGAAATGCTGCCAAGACTAAATTGCCAATTAGTTGTACAAGACCAAACTGAGCACAAAGTCAACATGGAGTTTCAGGTTTCAAACCGACCAGTACAAACAAAATTGCTTCCTGCAAAGGTTCATGTCCCTTTGCTCCTCCTTTATGTCTTATAGGAGGGCCAATCACCTCCAAGCCTTACTGCCAAGTTGTCCCTCTTGTCTTAATTGTTCTTGCCTTCTGGCAGCTCTGCACACACGTGCACTGATAACAGGCTCCCCCTGTTCCTCTGCCTCACTGCTGTCAGATTCTGGAAGCTCTGGAGTCAGCACATAACTCCCAGATGGCCCTGGCCCCATCTCTGCATCGGACGCAGAACCCTGGTCCAAGTCCTCCCCAGATTCCTGGACTGGCCCATGTTCTTTTCCACCGTCCGACTCTGCTGCTATCTCTGCAGGCTGCCGGCGGACCACAACACTAGGGATACTCAAAAGCCTTGCAAATTGTAAAGATATTTTGGTTACTATAATATAATTTAGATGTGCTTGGTAAGTAACTACATAAATGCCATAACTTTTGTAATAACATTTTGTTTGTTTCAATTGTGGTAAGTCAAGGACTACCTGTATAGATTACAGCTAAGCCAGAATGTCGCATTTTTCTTGCTCCTTACCTAAGGAAGAACAGGGTAGAAAGACCAGGGCAGATCTGACAGGTGCAAAATGGTCCTTGGATTATGACTATAAATGAGCCTGGAACATTGCATCATTAAGTGAGTCAGCATGTGACTCACTTAATTTTTACAACATGTTTGTGACAGTCGTTAAGAGATTGCAATGGTAAACTAATCTATTTTACCGAATGGGCTGTTTTTGATGGAATGAAAAGTAAATGCTGGAAACCAGCCAAACCTATCAAAAATTGTGATCACATGACCACGGCATGCTGCAAACTGCCGTCAAGGTTGCCAAGCATCCAAAATGTGAGGATACAATTGAAGGTGTTTGTGTACGGCTGTCATAACTTCAAAATCAGGTCATAAGTAGCTTGTCTATAAGTTTGTGTATCAGCTCATAAGTAAATTGGTCATAAGAGCCTCAGTGGCACAGTGGTTAGAGTGCTGTACTGCAGGCTACTTTCTGCTGACTGCTGGCTGCCTGCAATTTGGCAGTTTGAATCCCACCAGGCTCATCAAGGTTGACTCAGCCTGCCATCCTTCCGAGGTGGGTAAAATGAGGACCCAGATTGTTGGGCTGACAATAGGCTGACTCTGGAAACTGCTTAGAGAGGGCTATAAAGCGCTGTGAAGCGGTATATAAGTCAGGGGTGGGATGCAAATATTTTTACTACCGGTTCTGTGGGAGTGGCTAGGTGGGCATGTCCATGTGACTGGGTGGACGTGGCTTTTTGTGTGTGTGTGTGTGTGCAGCACCACACTCCCCGCACTCCAGTTCTTTTTTTTTTTCCCCTCCTGGGCCTCAGGGAAGCCTCCTGGGAGGCCATTTTTGCTCCCAGAAAGCTTCCCTGAGGCCCAGGAAGGCAGAGTGTGAGGGGGTAGCCACAGCACAAATGGTAGCATTTTTTACTACCAGTTCGTTTGAACCAGGCCGAACCGGTAGAATTCCACTACTGATATAGTGCTATTGTTAAGTGCTATTGCTATTGTGGGGAGTCTGTTAAAAGTCAAAGATTACCTGTGATAGGTTTTGGATACATGGCTATGACCCTAACAGAATTGGGCTCCAGGTTTTTCCTGTTTAACTACCATACCAACAATGTTAAAAGAAAGTGCAAGTTAAAATAAGAAAAAATATTCTAAGCATTCATAGTTTCCCTATCCGTGTGCCAGAGAAATATCAAGGAGTTTCTCCTGATACCTTCAGTTCTAAGTAAAGTAGCTGGGACCAAATCTTTTAGCCTTTTCATATCAAAAAACGCTATTCAGCACAAACTTAATTCTTTACATGGGAGATTTTTTTCCCACCCATCTCAAAACCTCTGTATTTCTCAAGGGCTCGTTTTAACTTTAGCTCAGTTGTCTGCTGTTCTAGGGCAGATTCCCGAATTTGTAATATTAAGGTGATGGGAAAAATCAGCCTTCTTTGAAATTCGGTACGTTGTGGTACCACTAAATATGAGAACCTCTTTCATAGCGACAGTATTATGACATGCCGGGTTTTGTCTCTGTGTAACACAGCTTTTAAAAAGATGTCTTCTCTGTGTTTATGTAGTTTATTCACTACTTTGGATTTCTTATTTTGAAGGGTGAATGTGATTAATTATTATTAGACCCAGTCATTGGCTAATTTAGATAGCAGCCTTGCCCTCACTGTTTTTCCTTGGACATTGATCTTGGTAAAAAGAACTCAATGACTTTACAGACTGTTCGTGGCTCATGACTGGTTGCCTAAATTACCATTTGAGGTTATAACAAACTTCAGAAAAGCTACTTATGACCTATCCTGAACAACTGCGCATACACACACACACACACACACACACACACACACATGGGCACATGGTCTCATTTCAGGTGCTTACATTTAAGACCAGTTGTAGTGTCCTATGTTTATGTGATTGATTTTTGACTTTTTTGCCGTCAGAAAACAGGAAAACACACCCATCGGCTATGCCAGATTTGGTTCACTTACCAATCATGGTGGCTTTCTTTCCAACCATTGTAAAAGCGGTCATAAAAATTGACTAGGCTTATGATCAATGATTTATGATTAAAATCCCAGCCTCAGTTGTGGTCATAAATTGAAGTCTACCTGTCTGCCCTTAGAAAGTTAGGGAAAACTTAGGTGTATCTCTTCTCTCCGCAGGTCATTTTCAAGGTACTAGATCCAGCTGTGAAAGTAGAAGACCCTTACAGCCAGGAAATCCAAGGTAAGTCTTCAACGGGAAGTAAGGAAGAAATCGCTTCCGAGAATTGAAAAGAAATGTTGCCAAAGATTTTTAAAAATGTTGCCAAGGCTTTAGATATTGATATAGAATCATGCTTGCGATAGTGGTGAAAATCTTTAGCTCGAGTGAGGGATAAAGGTGGTGGTTTGTTCTCTGAGCTTATGGGTTGGTTTCTAAATGTTTCATTACCAGGCTAGATAATACCTTCACCAGAATCTAGGGAACAGAACGGAATTACCCTAAATTCCACTGAAGATGTTACCTAGCCGTTACCGAACATTTCGTTTGAACGAAATGTTCGGAAACCAATCCACAAGCTTGGAGAACAAACCTCCACCCACACAGAGTCATACCATGAACAAGCAAATATGGGAACAAGAAGTAAGGGTATAGAGGACTTTTTAATAAAGAAAGGGCATCATTATTAGAAGAAAGATCACTGTAGTGGAATGTGAGAATGACCTTGGTAGATGGGAGGAAAGGGATGCTGCCTAGGGAACAATTAGATAAAAGAAGGAGAAGCCCACAACTGAGTATTGGGTGGGAAAGAGATTTAGAGAGGATCCAACCGGGGTGGGTTTCAAAAGTTTTAGCAACTGGTTCTCTGCCCGGTTGCTGGGTGGGCGTGGCCATGATAGGGTGGCGTAGTTGGCCTTCTGCACCACAGTGGTGGGGGCAGTTTGGGCACATTTTCAGCCTTCCGGAACTTCTGGGAGTCCCAATTTTTCACCCTCCCCAGGCTCCGGAGGCTTTCCTCGTGCCTTTGAGAAAGCAAAAATGGAGAACTGGTAGCAGCCCACTCCTGGATCCATCCTAACTAATCCGGCATGGTGAGAGACGGTGGGAAATTTGTACTTTCAGACGTGCAATATTTTACCAATCTAGCCTTATAATAAAATTGAATTAGCTCATCTTGTCCTGTGTCCACTCTGGTCAACGTGGGAGGCAGACAGCCCTCTCAAACTGGATTGGCATTCAGGTTCATTTAACAGGGATTATTGTAGTTTGTGGTAGCACAATGCTGTATATGCCAGTTTTTCAGTTTATTTATTTATAAAATTTATAGGCTGCCCATCTCAGCTCAAGGTATCCTCCAGATCTGTTGGACAGTCTCACCCTGTGGGCATGTGATGGGAATTTTTATTCAACACTTTGGAAGAGATACATTTGGGAAAAGGTAGTAGTTGTATTATTGTGCTTCCTGCCTGATAACCGTGACCATAAGAAGGAGGAAGAAAAGCAAGAAAATAGAAAATGGGGAGGCTGAAGAGTCTGTAAAAGCTAAACTGCTGCTTCAACAATTCAACTCTCTTACCCAGATTTGTTACGTGTCACCAACTTGCGGGTGAACTTCACAAAGCTGCACACTCTGGGAGACAATTTGTTAGACTCACGATATCAAGTACTGCAGAAATACTACTATGCGGTATATGAGATGGTGCTTCGAGGGAGCTGCTTCTGTTATGGACATGCCTCCGAGTGTGCGCCGTTCACAGGATCGGCTACTCCAGTTGAAGGCATGGTAAGTTGCTCAGTGGGAGGCAAGGAGAAGATCAGGGTGGTGAGAAATTGGTAACCACATGAAGTGTGTTAGAATTTGCAGCAGAAATTCAAATCCAGGAAGCACACACAGATGACTGATTCAGCAGGATTCATTAACTTCTTTATATGCATATAATATACAAGTAAATATACAATACCAAAGTAGGTGTCAGGATTGCGGCAGTTGCCCTAATTAGATCATGAGCCTCGAGCCAAGCTTCAAAAACTTCAAACAATTTATTAGGAGCTAACATGTCGGTATGTAGCTGTAGTTCTTCTCACGTGGTAAAATTACAATCCAAACACAAGCAGGAGCTTCAGAGCTCAGAGCAGAGAGAGAGATAAGCCACGCCCAGACTCTCTCTTTAAGTCTCAGTTTCTAATTTCCATTGGCTGATCTTGTTAACCATGTCTCTGCCAGTTCATGAATATTCTGACAAAGTTTACGTGAGCTCAGCTTGTATCAGGAGTTTTCTGCACCTACTGTAGGAATTCATGCTCTTTTAAAAAAATATCTCTATGTTGGGAGTCTATGGAGATTCTCAGTCATCCAGGTCATGGTTATCCCAAAGGTGCTTTTTCAAGAGGCAACTGGACTTTTAAGATGTTTCAAAGAAGATTGGAGATAGATAGATGATACGACATCATCTATCTCCAATCTACAACAGAGAAGAAGGCTCTACACCCATTTGCACTAGTCAGGTGACCCTGATGACACAGATAAACCTCCAGGTGACCTTAACCTCCCGCTAAAAGGATGCAAATGACCAGCTGTCTGCAAGGAGTATAAATCCTTCCATTCTCCACCATCCAGTTAGAGCTGAAGGAGCTTCTTGGATGAGAAGCGAACCTTCTTCAAAGAAAAATCAGAAAATCCAGTTGCCTCTTGAAAAAAAAAGCACTTTGGGGACTCTATGCTGGGAGCTGCTCTCTCGTGAATTGATGTGCAAGGCCTGGTAAACCTATTTTATCCATCTCCTCTGCTCCAGATCCACGGGCGGTGTGTCTGCAAGCACCACACCAAGGGCCTCAACTGTGAGTTCTGCAAGAATTTCTATCAGGACTTGCCCTGGAGTCCAGCCGAGGTCCACAATCCACATGCTTGCAAAGGTGTGAGTTGAAAGCGAGGCTTTTGTGGTGACACGGAGCAGTGAGGGAATTGCATTAGTAAACCAGTGGGAGGCTTGCAGGGACATCAGTCTCTGACGCACATGGTAACATCACTGACTTCGTGTGGTTGCATAGCCAAGACCACAAGCCCTGGAAAAGTTTAGATTAAATTAACAGAGTTGGGAGGGACCTTGTATATCGTCTAGTCCAATCCCTCCGCCCAA